AGAGGGATCTAGGTTACGGAACGAAAAGGCGAGAGGGGAATTTCCCCCATCCATCCATCCCGATTCGGTACATCGGTTTTGTGAACGAGTGCCTCGCGTAGGAGTGCCGCGAGAACCTGACATGGATACCGTGGGGGCTGCCAGCTTTCTTTCCGTCTCTCGCCTCTGAAGGCCGAGAGGCCGCAATACCCCTTTACCGACGCGATGGAGGAGTTTCCTGGAGTGGGCAGCCGACCCCTACTCGAGAACCGCTTTCGAAGTTATCGCTCTTCGGACTGTATGGTGCTGCAGTAAAGATGCCAATTCCTTTTACCGCCTCATGCAGTATAAACTGTGCCGCGTGTACTCGTGTGACCGTTTTTTACGACAAGGATGTTTAAAAAAATGCCGGTACGCGTTCCATCGCAGCATTGAAATTGACCTGCACGGTTCGCATGAAATAATGAGCAGTTGGAATTATTCTGCAACTTGAGGGAATCATAGGCCATAAATATTCACACCAATTCAAAGTCTTGTATTTCCTGTACTAATCATTTCTCATAAATCAACTGAGTCGCAAATGAAGCACCAAGACTCACAGTAACTATTCGCAAGATATCTTCGATGTGTCCCTCTTCTTCTTGACGGCAACCCGCAATATTTGGGTCTGCTGTGTGAGTGCGTGCCGAGTGGAACCATGTCCGTCCAGTTTAATTAAATACCGCTCCTCTTTCAACGCGAGCTTCGATTCAGGTTGCTTCATTTCGTGTTTGGACACTTTCTTCCAGGAGACTCCACGCACAGTAATCGATTGGATTCCAGTCAGAGTTGTAAGAGGGCCATTCTTGTTTGTCGATGATTTCTGCAAACATGGTTTGCTGGACGAGTTTTTTGAAAGTCAAGACACGTGACATCGAAGCACTCAAGATTGGCCATCGAAGAGACGCTGCCATATAGGTATCACACCTATTTCTCGTTGCTTTTTCTGGGCTCGCAGAAAAGGTAAAAGTTACATGTGATGTGAATATTTATGGCCCACCTAGTACAGATGTAGTCTCGAAGTGAAATAAGCAAAAAATGAATCGTGCGAATTTATATCACTGAAATGATCGCCTCGCTGAGTGATAGTTCCCAATAAACCTTTCATTAGTTAATTTTGAGATTCTAATTTCCATTCAAAAGGTGGGGAACCGTTGCCATGGACGAAACCCACTTCCCCATCGTTCCAAACGACTTCCCACCGGGTTTTTTCATCATTAAGCACAAGGACACCGAGATAACGAGCAACGACTCCAATGTTCACAAAAGGAGCGGACGTATATGGAGCGCGAAAATGCGTGAAAAATGCTCCTGTACCCAGCTATATCTGGAGAGATGCAGTCTTCTCCCGGCAGAACCAGCCGAATAAGGCTGGCAAAAACATTTATCTAGTCTAAACATTAAATTTAGTTTAGATGAATAAATAAAAAATACAATTATATATATATATATATATAAAACCGCTAGAAGTTCAAAACTTTTGCGTTCGAAGGAGAGTAAGAATTCCGTGGGATGATGCCTTTCCCTTCCCCCACCCCCCCGCCCCCAAGCGAGGAAAGTATCGGCAATGAAGACTCAAGGTCTCGATTTGCATCGAGTGCGGAGAGGCTCCTGAAAAGCGATTGGCACTCCCGCCTCACCAAATCCTCATTCCGTTGGTCTGCGGTCGCGAAACCCCATCTCCACGCTCTCGACCTTGAAACCCGACTCGGGGGTAGGATCATCGTCGTAACCCTTTCGCTCACCTCGTGCCCCACGGGCACGGGGACCGAAAACGGGTTTGAATCGCTTCACATATGTTTCATCCTCGGTACCATTCACGAGGCACTCGTCCTGAAGCCGACGATACGATCGGGCGTCGTACATCCGATAGCAGCTGTCGCCAGTCCCATGAAATGCATGATGAGTGGTGTCCCTGGGCTATGTGCCCTTTTCTTTTTCCATCCACGCTATATACGAGCGCTTATGAACCACGTATTTACGCTGATAAAAAAAAGAGTGAAATTAGAAGTCAATTTCCACTTGGGATTTGATTTTTCATTAAAGAAAAAATAGAAAAGCGGGGGGGGGGGGGGGGAAAAAATTGATAGAAANAGGAAGGAAGAAAGGTTTTTTAGGAAAGGGGGGGGGGGGGGGGGGGGGAAATAATTTGATAGAAATATGAAGGTAATCCGAACCCATAATTATGAACACATCCACCGCAAAACGAGAGGCATTTCTGGATAAATGAAAAAGTTGCAATGCACGTCATTGCCAGGAGGAAAAAATTGTCTGCCAACGTCGTCCTTTCTATCATTATCGGTACATGGGATGAAAAACTGATTACGATATCATTGCATACGAGGGTTCGTGAAAGGGTAGTTTAATCTATTCTCGCTCGGAAACAAAATTAAACTATATTTGCTACGAAGGATTCCGCGTTTGTCCATGCTTCTCCTTCCTTAAAAATGAAAAGCTTACAAAATGAAAACGAGCGAGTTCGAAGGAAACGAAGAGACGCGCAGATGGGGAAAGGTAAGGGAGATTACTCTAGAATGACCACAGGTTGGGAGGTAATTAATGACAAATGACTACCTCTTGACAATTTATCATCAGGTAATTCTTTTTTTTCGAGAAGCACAGTAAAACCGCATTCAAACGGAATCGGATTCTAGGAAAGCCAAACGATTTCGCGTTTACAGTTGAATGCACCAGAAAAAAAATTTTTTATTGCAAATACGCGTATCGAAATTATTTCGACGATCTTCTTCGTTACAAAATGATTTTATATCTACGGCGATTCGCATTTAATTACTTGAAGGAATTGCAACCACTACTGATTTACTACTGATTATAAGTAATTGGTGAAACAAAAATGAACTAAAAAAAATAAAGGATCAAATCAACTATCAAATAAGCTACAGGGTGGGTAAAAAAAAACTTAGGTTATCTTCATCACTCCACAGTACTGGTCTTCAAGAGTTTGCTAAAATTACAATGAAGAATATTAGTGGCGGCGCTGGAAAAAGCGAACACGTTTTGGGAAGATTGCATTGTGGAAGCGAAGGAATGGACGTCACGTGGAGCACATCGTATAAGGTACTGGTAAGTGCACTTTTCAAGCGCTACCTCTGTTACACTGTGCAGGATGACGGAATGGATCTTAAATCTTTTGACGTCAGTGGGAAGCTAGATAAATGTTCTGCGTAGAGACGCTATTGCAATGCTTTCTAACTCTCGATAAACAACCCCGTGATCTGTTAACCTCTTCAGAGCTGAAGACAAACTTGCCAATTTTTAAATCCTTTGGTTCGTTGTCTAAGCTCCACCTCCGATGGCAAAGCATGGATGCCAATACTTTTATCCTTCTTGGTATTGGAGAAATGGAGTGGCATGTGTACATGCCACCGGGTTTTCCTCAATAGAAGTGTGCGATTGAGAACGTGTGCGTTTTTTTTAACAGTAAAATAAGCTTATGAAAGCCAGTAATCAAGGATCATATTCAAAAATGTTTCTAGGCCCCGTCACAGTCATTGCACCGACAATAGTATCAATTAGGCTGGGTGGTATTTCGAAAATACGGAAGTACCACGGTACCCCGCACCCTCCTTAACGCCCCAATCCCCACCCCGCTCGCTAAGGAATGGTCAGTAATCCTTAAAAACTGGACCCTTCGTACTGTGGCTCTTACTTTTCCAATTACCCTGTATGTAAAAAGGACCACAAGAAATGACTTCCTTGGGTGAAAATGAAGCTGGAGGCAACTTCCTGCCACATGGCTCATCCATCTCCAACAGCGGATCCAGAAAATTTTCGGGGGGGGGGGGGGGGGGGGGGGGGGGAATATGGAACTTCAGGGGCGGCAGCAGTCGCATCTGTCTTGCATTAATACGATATTATGATTAGGTGTTTCAAGGTGCACCTGTACAGAGGCAGTACAGCGAGCGGAAGGGGGGGTAGGGAATACCGATAGAAAAAGCTGAAAGGGACTGCCTGCGAATATGTACCTGCAACAATTATGATGGGTGCCCCAGCTTTGGATCTGCCACTGTCCATGTCTTTGTCTTCTTTCTGGTTTTCCTCTTCGTTTTCGTCAGCCTGGGAGGGATCGAACACATCTCAGGTAAGTCAATGCCCCTGTATCCGAACTGATGCAGTTCCGTGCAATTGTACGTAGATTTACTAGTGCAACGCCTCGTGGCATGTATATTTTGACAAATCCCATTAGAGCTCTTTAAAAAGTCAGATATCCCTTTAATTCTAAATAATTTCCCACAGTATTTGGCAAAGCAGTTCAACGTGCGTTCTAATTATGTGGTCAATAATGAGCAATCGACAAGAACTTTTATGGTTGGAGACGACGCTTGCGACCATATTCTCAGAAGTACCACTTTCACAAGCCTCTGCTGTGATGCAGACTGAGTCCAATGAGTCGCGTACATTTTTTTCGGGAGCTCTCTTAAATCCTACAATGGCTTTCAGAGTGATTCAAGACGTAGAAGCGATTTGATCAGGCGTTTCAAAAGGTTTATATTTGGCATGTGTACATGCCACAGGGTCTGAAGAGGTTAAAGATAACCCAATATTTTTTTTTTAGCCATCCTGTATTGCTCTTTCAAACTTAGTAATTTCTCGGACATTTAGTTACTTTATTTTGATGAGTTATTGGTCAGATTGAGACGTACTTTTAGAGAGTGACGGTTTAAAAACGGCATATGTCTATGACTTGCTCTATGACACGAAGTCTTGACTCAGAGAACAGCAGTTCCCTCTGTGTTGTTTCCAATTCTGCAACTGCTAACGGGATATTTTATGTATCTAAGTGGTAGCATGAAAGCTCCTGGAAGGATTTCAAGTCACTTTTCAGTCCATGGAGCCGAACGATTCCCAGCTTGACACCGTTCACAACGGGCGAGGTACAATGGGAAATGAAAAGACAACCACGGGGATATTACTAAAAAGTTACATCTTCCTCAAATTCCCATACATCGATCAGATGCAAAGAGCAGAGAGAGAGAGAGAGAGAGAGAGAGAAGAAAAACACAACATGAAAGATTGAAGTGGCACTGGAAAAGAAGGAGATATGAGTTGAAGTTTCTCTCTTCCTCACCTTGGTCAAAGTGAGTCCTTAGTGTAGAGGAAAAATGAAATCGAAAACCAACACACACAAGGATAGCTATGAGACAAAGAGGCAACTTTCTTTTTTTACGAAGGTTATGTTCTGTCACTGTGACAAGTGAACTGAGTGAATTGGAAATTATCACCCCAAACACCCTCAACAGAACATGAGTTGAAATTTCTTCTCACAGACTGAGGTAGAGGGTGCAGGTAAAATCTAAGAAAAACAAAAAAAAGGAAAACATTGGCCAGTCAGATTCAGGATCTCTAAGAATCCCATCAACTCAAGCACTATATGATCCTTCAGACATTTCAATTGTCAACACTTGGAATTACAAATTCAACCCTGAGTAGAATGGTCAGGAATCGAGTTGCATTCCATACTCACAGGATCATTTCACTTGAGTGAAGAACAATAATTAAGTAAATGCTTCTCAAGAACAAAGATTATGATTTTGCCATTATTGGTGTAAATGATTATAACGCCAAGGATGATGATGATGATGATGTAAGTCCACGACTGAAGACATGAGCCCTACATGAAGAATAATGGTGATATCACAATAACAGAAAAGGCAAAGATACAGGGAACTCTTCATCGCATCCATGGCCATCAGCATCATTGCAGTTTTCTCCCTTCTGCTCAGAAACCAAATGATTTTTGAGAAACCTCATTGTCATGGAAGCAGGGTAGCTGTCACCCCACTATGAATATGCACAGAGGATCATATCACTGAATGTCAACATCATGAATGCAAAAGGACAAAAGGCATTTCTCCACAATGGCAACCTATACAAACAAGCAGAGAAGCTGAAGGTACCTCCTCAGAGAGAGAGAGCAGCAACATGATGCTCTAGCATGGTTTTTCCAATTTTTGCAGTACTGCTTGGGATAACTAAAAAGGAAGAAACTCATTTCAAATTTCCAAATTAAACAGACAGAGGGGAAAGATGAGGAGGGAGATATCACGGTAGTGAGTGTTTGTGTTTTTGGGGCAACAGGGGTCTTTGTTTTGTCACTTTTTCATGCGGGAATGGGGTGCATCTTTTGAACTGGATCCCCGTCGTCCACTCTGAAGATTCAGTGGCCCTGCCATCACAGGAGGCCCCATCGGTGCACTGCAACAGCATTAAAGTATTTTGATATGCTTCTCCTTACATATCCTTGCATTCCTACCAGATCATCACACTGTTATGATGATAGTGTAGCCAGGGCTTAAGGGTAGTATGAAGTGAAAATAAAATAAAAATCATTGCATCCTGCTATTTAAAATCTTGCATGGAAAAGAGACCTCATAACTTTCATATAAAGCAGAAGAGATATAAGGGCTCAAGTTGCCCACTCACCTATTCTGTCTTCCATTACTCAATTCAGTGGCAGTGACAGGGTTGGCACTGCGTGGCGACCTTCCACCAGCCATCCGACGTTCAGAATCAGGAAGACGTGGCCTCACAGGTCCTAGGTTGTCAATGAAACCCAAGGATCCACCCCCAATTTAAACAAGAGGGACAAGGGTTGATGCCATGCAACAATATATTATTACCCTGCATTTAGTATCAAGCAAGAGGCATGATAACGAGGGATGATGACAAAAGCTAAAGCAACAAAACAATACCTGTTAGTGCAATTTTCAAGAGCTGTTTCACATTGGGAAATACTACTTTTGCAGCAATTCTATATGACAAGGTACAGACCAAGAATCTATAAACTCTGAGAGAACCAGCTGGCATATACAAGGGGCAGTCAATAAGTTCCATGAACACCTTTGTAACTTTGAGATCCCTTACCTGAGGGAAATATTAGTAACAGCATTTGAAAGCCCATTCTTTAATGTGTGTTTGGTACTAATTATTAATTTTTTAAACATATATTTCTTGTAGTTATGACCTCTGGGAGTGACCCATGAAAAAACCACTGGGAAAACGTGCAATTTTCTGACCTTGTGAGTCATGCATACATCAAGTATATTCTATTCTACTTCAAAAGATACACTTGCAGCTTCGATGTGACATGTCAAGGGGGAGCCTCGGTCATTAAACATCACTTATGCTCCTCACCTGAGACATGGTTAGTGGAGGGATTTTCCTTGAAAATCAGAGTTGCCAACTTTTTTTCATTCAATCGGGTGAAGTGGGATCCCAATGGATCTCTCTCAGCTGACTGAAAGGTGCTGTCCTTTATCTGACAACACTGAAGCGTGTCATAAACCTTTTGACCAGAGGCCAAATATACGCATACAGTTGAACTCGGTTATAACATCACTGAAGGGACCAGGTAAAAACTGTCATTATAACCGAGGTTGCCTTTATTGGCACTCCATTTTCCTGTTTTCAAAATTGATGCTATATAATGTTACAATTCCAGTTTACATTGGTCATACTACACTAGCTTCAGTTTCAAGATTGACCCACTAATCATGATGTTCCCACTTCTTTTGACCTTGAACTACTTTATATTTTAGCAAGGCTTCGTTGATGTCATCTCGACAGACCTAGGAAGTTCCTTGTTTTGTGACATGTTCTTGTAAACACGGATGAAGCTGTCATAATTTCCCAAAATTGTGGAAACAGATGTCTATGTTCACGAGTGACGTTAGCTTCTTCAAGCTCTTTCTATTAAACTAATCAAGCACACTTTCCTTTCAATCATGAAGGCTTGCCTCTTTCATTTTCTATTGGCCATGTTGTCAACGAGATATGCAAATGGCGACTGAAGATAAGGTGATCTTAGTTACTTAGTTCGATTATCCCTCCCCAACATTGTTCCAGCCACACCCACACGACTCTCAAGGAATGCCAAATCCAGGAAATATAAAGTTATGGCTCACCGATGCTAATTTTTCCGATGACGGAAATTTCAGTTAAGAATGACAGATTAGGGACATTGTCGATTTCATTTGTGGGACCTTCAATGGACTTTGTTATAACTGAGGTAAAATGTAACATGCCTTATGGGCTCTATGCTGGGACCTGGTGCTTTCATCATTATAACCGAGTTCGACTGTATCTCTTTGACTTCTTGCCTCTCACCACCCCATCCATCACATATTTTGTCCCCAACCACATATTTTGTGTGTATTTTGCTGCTGAATTGACTATACGATCACTGCTGGACTGGATATTCATAAAGACATTATGAAAATAACCATCACCCATGACTTTTGCTAGGTCTTCATGAATGTCCTTGACTGCACAGTTCAGCAGTGATTGTACTTTGATGTATGCAGGACTCTCAAGGTCAAAAAATTGCAAATTTTCCCAGTGGTTTTTACATGGGTCACTCCCAGGTCATATCTACGAGAAATGTATGTTTAATAAATTAATAATTAGTACCTAACACATATTAAAGAATGGGGTTTCAAAAGTTATTACTAACATTTCCCTCAGGTAAGGGATCTCAAAGCTACAAAGGTGTTCCTGGAACGTATTGACTGCCCCTCGTAATACTTTTGGCCTTTAAAATACTTCAGCTAAGAATGGATTTCTCTTAATTCCTTGGTTCGCTCCAAATGGTTTTTATTTTCCATCTTGGGGAGCACAAACAGTAAAAAATATGAGGAAATTATTTGATTTTTCCTCTCAGGATTGGGAGGGAGGGGGAAAGGGGGAGGGGGAGGGGAGCAATCAATGCAGCTGAGTAATCAAAAACTATCCTTTGGATGAATAAAATGGATCAGGTTGATTGACATCCAACAAGGATTACTACAAGGGCAAGCAGATGGGGTCCAAGCCATTAACCCAGATATTAAAGGTCAGAAGGTGGAATGTAGTGATGTCATAAAGCTGAAATAAATGTATTATTATTTTTAATTCTTTACTACAGTCCTCAAGAGCAGACCGGAGTTATCTACAGGGCTGGGAGCAGAAATAAGTCTTTTCAAGGTGGTAGTTTTGGACATTACAGCAATGATGGAAGAAGTAAAACCAAGGCACAAAACTTAACTCCAAATAAGCCATGAGACTTCCCTTGTTAGATTAAATGTTTTGACATCAGCCTCTTCCCCAAGTGAAATATACCCTAGTATTCAAATTACCTGCACACTCACTGGAGATTATGGAATTATATATAGTTACTTTACCATATAAAATGAGATCAATTGGACTATATCAATGGGTGGGGCTAATGAAAGAGACAGAGGAGATCAATATGGACAACTAAAGAAGATTGCTCTGCAGCCAAAGTGAATGGTAATGAATAAAATTTTAGTTTTTTCTTTAGAGCAGGGTGAATATCTACCATAAAAGAGTAGAGTAGAAAGCTGTATCAGATCATGGCAATTGGCTTAACAGTTTCTATCTCTCCAGACAAGTTTTCAGGTATGCCACTTGAACTTCCTTCCCATCAATTTTCGTGCCCATTGGGCCTTCCTCCTAACACTATTTGTATGGATGAGGGCATTGGAGCTTGCACTGACCAGCACCATTGATCTCTCAATTAAATGTCATATCTAACAGGTGTTGTCTATTGAATGTTCCCATTATCATGAGATCTTACCTCAACTAAAGTGATTAGTCAACAGAGAAATCTACTTGACCTTCAAGGGCAGGCCCCCCCCCAATTCTAGCTGCTGACTGACCGAATTGGGAATAGCTTGTCAAAAACTTGTAACACAAATTCCCAATTAATAAACTTTTATTTTCCCTTATCCCCCTCTCATTTTTGGTGTGTGCATAATCCATTCAAGAAAAGAAAAGTTATGTTTAGCAAATACATAACAGGATTGTTCAGTCCTAATGGGGTATATATGTACTCAAAGACACAGCACGGTAAGTATCATAGTCTGGGTCAAAATCAATGAGCCAAGTCTCTCTTTAACTTGGCAAACAACTGAGGTAAGACTGAGTGCACTAATGGAGGTTGTTGATCAAGACAAAAATCAAGACTTGTGAAATATCATTCACAAACATATCATCCTGTACTAGCTCAATGAACTATTAGTCAGCCTTTTCTGCACTGTACTATTCAATTTTATTGGCACAATTCCAACTTGAACTGCAATGGAATTCCTTATTTTTCAGCCTCCAAAATAATTGTGTGTAAAGTATATTTTCCTATGCATCCTGAGTTCCTCTACACCATTTCTTCCTCATACATACCCCTGCGTATGACAACGTGGAGAGTGTTGTTTCTATTGCACATATCTAGCACAGACCCCATAAATTTCTTGCACATGCATTTGTGACTCATATGCTAGTACTGCCTGGTATCAAAAGGTCTAGAGGAAAAAAAAAATTACCCAGACTGCACAACCACTCCATATGTAAATCCATATGAAAGCAGATGTGGGAACATGAAAGAATATTCCTGTCTCAAGTGTAGATGCCACTAATTTAACATTTTCTCGATAAGAAAGTCTCACATTTGGCACAAAGAGCAGTGTTTTTGATATGCCACATTGAAAAAGCAGTCATTTTCAGATGTAGACTCAAGCCAGTTTAAAAAGGCTCTCCCATAAGGCATGGTTGACAGAAACATTAAAGAGTAAATGACTACTTTAACAAAATTACAGGAAAAAAAGGGTCAAGATTGACATATTGGTGAGTCAAAGTGTCTGGAAAAGGACCAAATATAGAATGCAACCAGTGGTGAGAAATTATTTCCAACAAAATGAAAAACAGAACTTGCTTCATTAATATAAATGCACTCAAAATGAAATGGTATCTTTGACAAAACAAAAATGAATTCAAAATGTTCCATAAGTGGATTGTTGCCCATTCACTTGTTTCCATTTTTACTCATTTCTGGTGTCAAATCTCTGGGTCAAGACATGACACTTTCACTAAAGCATCCTTTAGCTATATTTATGCTGTTCTCTTCCCTGCCTTTTCCTCATCCTATCCTGATTTCACAGACTGCCATGTGCCCAGAGTATTGCAAGGGCTTTTCCATATATGCATATATTTCCATGCAAGAGAACAAGGTTGTAAAAAAGAAGGTCTTCAATCATATCTGCAAAATACAAATCCAAAGTAATAAAAATATGATGAGCTAAATAAAAAATTATTCAGTTAACACAAAAAAACCTGAAAGAAACAAGAACAGCACTGGAAGACTTATGCAGAATCACTTCTCTGGGCATGAATTCATCTGGAGGACAAGAGTATTTGGATGATGCATGAGTGATGTGTGACCTAAATGTAGAGGTCATGAAGATGTGTATCCACAGACACGCATACACAAGCACTTCCCATTTGCCCTGAGTTCCTCAGAAGAGGGCCATAGGATACACCACATACTCTTCAATACTTCATGCAAGCCTAGCTGACTTTCCCATTTCAGCACTTCCATTTTTCCCACCTGTGTACAATGATAATGGGCAAAAAAAAAAAGTGAATGGATTTATAATCCAATTGTGATTTCTGGACAGTTAGGGAACTTACTCTTTCACTGCTCATGTTTACTCTTTAAACATACTACAAATTTGATCAATGATTGTCTCATGCTTGTCATAAAAATTATATTCCTTTTCATTATGTGTTCATGATGTGTCCAATGTATCTGTAGTGTGAGTAGGGCTTATAGGTTATTTTACTGACATATTTTGGCTGATATATTGATTGAAATAGGATAGCATTGAACATTTGCAAACAGACATGTTTGAGCTTTTTCATTTTCCTTTTTACACTAAGGTTGAAATCTGATAATATATGATTAAAAAAATGGGGCTATGCCTTATGTGAAGCCATGAAAGATCAACTGTAGGCCAGGATATTTTATGGAGAAGAAAAGGGATAAAATTCCATTAGGATTTTGTAATATTTTAAACTGCTACAATTCCAGAGATAAGTTCATGATTATGCAAATTTTCAAAGTGGCAATGCAAGTCAATCTTATTCAACTTATTCTAATTTTTACTTCTGTAAGAACTCAAATATGAGGAAGCAGGGGAAAATTCACTCCTAGAATGAGACTTCCCCAAAGCTAGCCATTCACTCTTCAGTTCTCATACAAGGGCATCATAATTTTTTATTATTTTCACCATCATATTCACGACAAGCTTTGGAAACACCTATTGACTTACCCAAGTCTTCCTTACCAGTCAATCCAAATCAAAATGATTCTGTAAGACTCCCATGAGACAAGACAAGTCAAGTCAATGGAATGCCATTCCAGTAATGTGGAACGGAATCTAGGCCTACAGAGCTCTGTAGAAGATTCAGTTACCATATCAAAAGGAAAATTAAGCATCTGCATCACACGATATCATTGTGCAACAAAAAGTGTCATGCACTGAAATGAGAATGATCCCAGTCTTACAAAGAAAGAAAAAAAGAACCAAGATATTTCTGCTTATGAATAATTGAAGTGTTAAATAAAGGCTTCTTTTTTTAAATTATAGGTATTTAAATATGCATCAGGGCACTTACCAGGGGCAGGACTGGAACCGATTTGACCCTGAGAAAGATCCGGTCGGGTACCTCTGCTAGTTGACCCAGGCGTTGTCCTTAAGGCCTGCATTGAAGTGCGGCCATCCTGCTCTGAGCTCATCTCCTGGTCGTTGTTTCGCATTGCACCCTGAGCAGAATCCAAATCTCAACATTATGACCAAGATGCAAACTTCTGGACTCCTCAAATGGTATAGGTACCACTGCAGTAATTAGTTCAAAGTCAGAAAAGTAACCAAACTCACAAATTTGAGCATGTTCCAATCAAAGACATAGTCGTAGGTGAACCCCTGCCGATGGAAGAGATTACGGAACAATCTCCGAAGGTAGCTATAGTCTGGCTTCTCATCAAACTTCAGGCCACGGCAATATTTCAGGTAAGTGGAGAATTCCGCTACACAATGAGTGGAAGTGGGCACAAGTGAAGCAAACAGCAAAGAAACCATAACTGGAGATGAACTAAAGAAGAAAAAAGTGAGAAAAAGTACCAGGGTAAGTCTTGCACAACTCTTCCACAGGAGTAGCCATTTTCTTCTCACTAATCCTCTCATACTTTTGCCGCTTAGTGGCTGCTTTCAAGCCTTGCCATGGCAAAGAGCCACGATTGAAGTACATGAGCACATAGCCAAGTGACTCGAGATCATCTCGTCGACTTTGCTCTAAATGGGACAACAGCAGGGCATATGAAATTCATTGGGACAATAAATGTAATAAATCTAAAGTTGTAGATATGAATGCTATTCATAAAGAGAATTGGGTTTATCATCCTAACCAATTCCAAGGTGGGTGTTGATGCTAGCATATCGGGCAGTTCCAGTGAGGTTCTTGTTCTCCCGATACAGGATGTGGGCATGGGTCCTGGAATCACGGTATTTCTTGGCCAAGCCAAAGTCAATAATGTACACAAGGTTCCCTTTCTTTCCAAGTCCCATGAGGAAGTTGTCAGGCTTGATATCTCGATGGATGAAGTTCTTGCTGTGGATATACTCAATGCGACTGATCAGTTGGTCAGCCAGCAATAACACAGTCTTCAGGGAGAACTTTCGTGAACAGAAATTGAACAGGTCCTCTAAACTTGGTCCTAGAAGTTCCATCACCATCACGTTGTAATCACCTTCTGAGCCACACCATCGAATCTGAGGGATTCCCACACCACCTTGCATCATCTTGTAAAACTTTGATTCAATATGTAGTTGTGGATGCTTGGTCTTCACACACTCAAGTTTGATGGCAACTTCTTCACCAGTGCTGATGTTGGTTCCTAATAAGAGAAACACAATAGCATGTAGCACTTGCTAAGAGAGAATTTGTTAAAGGAAATTTTTGCTTCATGCAATGCAGCTCCAGTTACCTAAGTAGATGTCTCCAAAGGAACCACTGCCAATCTTTCGGCCTAGTCGATACTTGTTTCCAACTCGAAGCTCCATCTTCTCAAGATGCTAGTGACAAAGAAATGCAAAAATGGCTACTGAAGAGTCAGGCAAATGTCACAGAGAAATCAGTGCAGGGATCTTGATTCAAACTCCAAACATGTTCAAGATCCATTGCCATTCAAACTTCAGTGCTGTGAAAACCTGAAAATGAGAAAACATGCAAAAAGTTAGTCTGGTATGGATTGGCTTAGGCTGATATTTTTTAGACATAAGAACTTTCATCTTCAAAAGCAACAAACATAAGCTTCAGAATACTAGGTCTTGGTGGGAAGGGGGAAGAACACTCAGCACAAACTTGGAGAACTAGTGATAGTGTTCAATTATCAAACAATGTCAGTAGTGGCAGAGCACTTTGCACACATGATAGCTGCACCTCAGGGGAGGATATTTTGAATGGCTTCATACATCACAGACATAATGACCCTCATAAGAATATATTATGAACAGACATTTGGGGTTTATGGTGTATTTCCATGATTGGTTTTGAATTTTGCAACAGTTGATTTTGTTAGCACCATCATAAAACATCAGATCACAATATGCACTACCCTTGTACCAGAATGGAAGTGCTCAGTAATTGAATACACCCAGAATGGACACCAATCTCTTTCAACACTCATATCCCACACCAAGAACACAGAACCAAAATTTGTATGGAAATCTCACATTCCTGCCATCTTGAATCATATTATAATTGTAAAGAATATGGTTTAATCAATAACAAAGTCTTCTCAGCACCAAAATTTGCTTCATGCATATCTGCTGTCTGAAGTGTCTGAGTCTGGAACCATTTTGGAGCAATGATGCTACTTAGTAACTCCAAGTATCAATATCAATATCAGTAATGTATTTTTAAAATGATATTTCCCTCCCCTGGCTGGGATGATATTTCCTCCCTCCCCCACCTTGGCAATCCATGTTTATCCTGAAGGTGGCAATGATCAAAATGGGGGATTCCATGACGGTTCTAGATAATAGAAATACTTTATAATAGAAATAAGTTTTCAGATAAAATACCTAACACCATTACAGTCAGTTTCTCATCACTCGGATCTAGTAAATTTGACCCATGAATGCTATATCAGATGAAATCAAATCCCAAAAACAGTCAAATGGGTCACCAAGAATTGTTAACTAAAAATGACATTACTCAAATCCACTAGAGAGGCACATGGAAATACTCAAAAGATTGACATGATACTCCAACCAACTGGAATGACTTTCAATATAAATTGTCTGAAGTTTACTTTCAAAATCCAATGCAGCTCTTCAGAAATCAGAGAGTAGCAAGCTCTTGTATCCAAAAAGATTAGGTAGAGCTTTCCTTCAAATATTATTGGATTGAGAACTATTGCTTTTGAGTCCTGCATGAGAGCTTGTAAAGGACTCAAAAGATTGGAAGATTCCTCTAATGTTGCTCTTCCCTTGTACAAGTTTTAAATTGCTCAAGTCTAGTTGATAGTGAGTTTTAACACTGACCTGCTCCTACAAAGACCAGAAACACTACTGAAGGTTTAATCTTATAACACCTTTTGGTCCAAGGCAAAGAAATGCTTTAACTTCCCATTGGGGGGACCAGTCATGAACTTGGGTGGACTAGGCTTAACATGTTGACCACCATGGCCATATTGGCCTGGTGACTTTCCTGGGCAAAAAAAAAAAACATTTTTACATCCCTTGGAGAAGGTGAAGGAAGCACAGTGCACCAGTGCACCCCATGGCAGTCAACCTGTTAAAGAAAGCTTTGTAATAGGGTAGACAGAAGTTCATATAGTGGCCAGTACAAGCCCCTACATTTTTCACCTGTCATTATTTCCTTGAGAACCAAGCTAAAACAGAGCTGGGCCCCATTTTATTCCATACCAACTCTTGAAATAATCTTCCAACTAGACCAGGTTGTGTCTCTTTGACTGATGTTTATGGTACTCCTCATTTGTGTTAATGACCTAACAACAAAAATGGCAAAACATCCAATCTCAATAAGGGTCTTTGGTAGGATGAATTCCAGTCATATGAGGATGATGACAAGATAAAAAATTTATCGCTCCATTTGAGATGCTTTTCTTCCCCTCCTTCACTTACAAGGGCTTTCATGGTTGTCACCATTTTTCAACCAACTGAGTTGAATTTTCAACTTCTTCAAAGGAGGAAAGAGAGAAATGCAACAGAAAGAAATAATTTGACTTTCTTAATTCTTCCAGTCCTCAGCTAGATACAAGAATCAATTGTGAAAGAATGAATATGTCTCATTTCTGAACTCCAAGAATTGTTTTCAGTAGGTTGAGGTTAATAGGTCCCTTTTTAATATTATAAAAGCATATATATTGCCCTTAACTTTCTAAGATCATTCAGAAGGAATTGGAGAGGAGTAACATCCTTCAGCATCTCTTAATCCTTTCTACATCATCCCAAGTACTTACTTGTTGTACAGCTGCATGCTTGCCTGCGGTATAATGATTCAGGATGCCATCGAAAGGGTTAAAACTTTCAGCTGTTGGAACAGAGGTATATATGCATAGGAGGTCCAAAAGCTTAAGCCCTCCAGCCCCAATAGGCCTCTGGCAATCCTATCTCATTCAACTGTCCTAATACTAAGCCTTCCCTCATAAAAAAAAAGATGCACACTACTGCTTGGACATGTATGACTGCTGATTCCTTGTCCAGCTGTGAGACAGTTAACCACAAGTCAATGTGTCAAAAATATGCCTAACATTAGCCGAGTATATAGTCAATCAATACTTCCTTTCAGGTAGGGTTTTCATGTACTAGGAATTCCACAAGAGATTTTGTCAAGTGCTCATTTCTCGCTACAGGAGGGCATGCTGAAAGAGGGCTGGGTTTTCATGAATCACTCACAGATCTCTTAATAATTCCAGGCCTTAAAGTATACATTCGTATTTACCTGAAAACCAAAATGCGTATTGTGTGAAACCTCCCTCTTCATGTTCAATAACTGTATCTTTAACCATAGGTCTAAAACTTGTGATACATAGGCTTGGATACAGCACAAATTCAACACCCTGCTACTGGTCATGCGTAATTTTGCAGTGCTTTTCAGTTGAATTTGATCCTCTTTAACATTAGAGTTCATCTCCCAGGAGTACAGCAAATTCCAGAAAGGCAAAATTCTACCTGACACCACAGAAGGCTTTAACCTTGCATCAAAACCTCATTCATATTGCACTGGGAATTGTCTCATCTAACTTAGTAAACCCATGGTCATGACTCAGCATCCTCAGACTTTGCAATAGAGCAACTTCTGAATGCATGTAAATTTTCTTTGACAACTTAAGTAGGTTAGGCACCTATGCCAACTTTTGAAAATGAGGGCCTAGTCTGGTCCTGTAGCCACCCATAAACGCTTTCAATTTGGAGTTGGACTCACTGATAGGACTGGTCCTATCATAGACCTGTAAGGGATCTAAGCTGGGGTGGGGCCCAACATTTTGACGTAGCACATGAGCATGGGTACGCCTAGGTGAATCACATGCCATAAAGAACCAAGAAGCAAGCTGAAATCAAAAGGAATCTCAAATGGATATAACTAACTAACATTTAACGAGGCCTAGCTACATGCTTAAGTCTCAGAAAAGATGGACGCAATCCTTTCCGTGCCTTAGTCAACCACTCAGCTGTTCTTGTTCAGTCCAGTAAGAGGCTCGCCTCCATGACGTTAAAAGCTTCGGCATCATACTACAGGTGACGCTCTAGTAGCGGAAACAAAGAATTCTCCCTTTCTTCTCCATTTTCCTTCCTCAGCTCGCTCCCTCCGTTCCTTCGATTATTATATTCCCTTTGAATAACAAAACTATCTTGCCCGTTCTGCCATTCCATAGAATTGAGATATCCAATCTAGGATTCTATCACGAAGTATTTGAAGTATTTCATGGTTATGTATTACATTATGTATTACATATGTATTATATTAATGGTTATGTACATTTATGTACAGGACGCCACGGGAACTCTAGGACACTGTTCTCAGGCAATTCACGCGACTTTTCCTTCGTGCTTTGGCTTCTTTTCTGAAAAGTGTGGGGAAGGGGGGAGGGGGGACTAGCATTTCCTCCCCCCCCCCCCCCCCCCCCCCCCCCCCCCCCCCCCCAAAAGGGGTGGGGGGGGGGGGGGGGGGGACCAGCATTTCCCCCCCCCCCCCCCCCCCCGCTGGTCTCGTACATGACTTCTCTCCAGCTGTACACGCGAATTCGTTCCATTAAGTTCAAGGAGCAATGAAAAGCTTTCAATATTTATCCCGTAATCGACCAAATCTGACCAAATATAAAAGCGATGTCATGAGATGGAGTAAGTTTAAATGGAGTTTTGTATGTTTGTAAGTGCTTCGATCTGTGAGAATTTACCAACAATATTTTGCAAACGTGACGGAGTTGAGTGACGCACAATCTTGGAAGTGACGCAAACGGGGCAGGAGAAATGGGATTATTCTGTGACCTCAGTTGACACCGAGTTCGACATAAGGACTGGCCCCATGCCAGGATGCGTTGACGGTATAAAAACAAAGGAAAACAACAGCGAAACTTCCAGTGCCCAGAGAATCTGTGCTCGCACGTGCTCCACGTTCGCTCTCATCTCGACGCCTTGCAGCAGAGCAGTAAACGTGAACGTATCAGAGTACGTGCAGAATCCTAGGTGAAGTTCACCCTCACCTAGATTTCATTTCAAAGCTCGAGTTTTATTTCCCTTTTACAAATTTGTAGTCTTCCTACTCGGCGCGAAAGTACTCAACCGAACGCACGCCTGCTTGCGTGTTCTCAGTCTTGCCTTGTACAATCGGTATAAAATATTGCACATAACGTTCAAGTGCGTATCAACGAGGAAGTGTGTCCTAAGCCGACATTGCCAGGAGGGATTGGATTTCGTAATACGGGTTTGAGGCCTGCGCACGCCCAGGCCTTGTCTCTCCCTGGCTTTCAATAGCTATCTCCTCATTGCAGCCCCATCGGCTCTCAAGGTCGGTGCAGACTGGTGGCCATTTCACTCATAATTTCCGTCCCTTTCTCGCGAAATGGAGGACGACATTGGATCGCTTCCTATCGGCCTTGCGGTAGGCGTCCATTGCGGGTGAGACAGTGAGAAATTGCGCGTGAATCAACATGTGGTCACAGCAAACTTACCACATAGCAACAGGAGAAGGGGGGGAGGGAGCCGCGTACTCGGAGACTCGCGTGTGTTGCCTGTTTGCCCTAGTCACGTGCTGCCACTCACGTCCTAGTAAAACCTGAGTGCGTTGGATTGCATTCTGTGCCGTGCGCAAATTGGAACTCGTCCAGCCCTCTCTCTCGTAGGTGGCAGTTCTGCAGTGATGGCAGTGGTGATATTATCGTACGTCTCGCCACGTGTAGGTTGTTTACATGACTAAAGTTCGATGCCTCTTATTTTTCTTCTCTTCTTTACGTCCCATGTCAAGTGCTGATATTACGCGGAAGATTACGTAGATGTCGTACGATCGTGTCATCGTGTGAAATAGGCCTAGTCTTGTGTACACATTCCTTCATTGAATTCAGGGAGTAGAAGTGGAAGTCTCCGTGATGAGCACTCATCCAACTTCCGGATCAACATTGGATGTATGTTTTCTTCCTTATTTGTGGCCGAAGGACACGAATGAAGATTGTATGTAGATTGTCCGAAGAACCTGTATTGTTGATGTTATCTTATGCGTGCAACTTTTTTTTTCTGGACTCTAGACATTTAATATAGTTCAATTTCTCAAGGATTCACGTCCCTGTTCTATCCAGTTTTGTCAGTAGAGCAGATTCCCCGTGGATTCAAAGCCGAAAGTGGCCTGCTGATCACAGGCGGAGGTGCTCATGCACCTTTCATCATTAGAAGCGTCACGGACGTAGGTGACAGGTGCATCGATTTAGGAATCAGGCTTTTTGGACCGTAACTTATGCCCATTAAAAATTGTCAGCCTCTAATTGAATGAATGAATTGTACAGTCTGATAAACTTTTAATCTAATACAATGAACCCCTCTGATGCCTGTTATGACTCGCCCAATCGAATTGCGCCAATGGATTCTTCTATTGTGTGTTTGATTCAATGCAAATAATCCTCTAGAAAGGATTGAGAAGAAAACAATCGTAGGCAAGCGGTTTTGAAAGCATCGCTATAAATTGACGTACTACGTCGAGTGCCATATTTGTGGATGCTAAGTTTCAGGGGAGCTTACCCGATAGTTTGTTTTGCTGTGCATATTTTAAGGTGTGAAATAGGACAAGGCAGAGAATCACCAAGATCTTAACTTGACAAAGAATGTTTGTATGGTTATTTCCTCCGCATAGATATGATGGGGTGAATAGCTCGTTACAGTAGATGGAGTATATGAGAGACATTGGTTGTTGTAGTTTATTCCATGTGATAGTAAGGCCCGAATGTACAAACCTCATTTAGGGGAGTTAAAGGGGCCTTTAAGCAAAAGAGCTCATTTCCCCATAGGAATCCATGTATTCTTAAAGGACCATTTACTAAAGAAGGTTTCAGCATTTGGGCTTTGATAATTTTGTTAGGAAGCTGGATAGCTTTTGCAGATAGGCAATTATTACCTTTCGCTGACAGCAGACAGGTTCTTCATGCTTGTCCCATTTGAATTTTTCATTACTGTGGATTCCAGGGAGTTCAAGAGAGGGAAAGTTTGATGTAAGGGAAAAGAAGTATGATCTGAATCCGGAACGAAGCCGGCTTTTTCGATGGCCAATAGGCATTCTCGGCATTCGTATAGTTGTTGCACTGAGATGGGTTGCGGCATTGCCCTGAGGCCGCGTCATGGCTCCACCTTCCTGAATGAGGATGAAGCCGGCTAGGTGATTGGTCGGAGAAGGAGGAGGAAAAAGAGCGTGCGAGGGATATTAAGACGCAGAAGCCCTGCTGGCCGACCTCACCCCATGCGTGTGTGTCTCTTAGTTTCACATTCCTTATCTTCAGTATACTGATAAGGTCCTAGGCCTAGCTATATGAGGGACTGACATTTTCAAGGATACGCCAAAGAACTGGTGCGTAGTAACGCTTTTCCGGTGATTGAGACCAAGAAGGGGAGGTTTGTTTATAGCCTGGAGTGTGCCTTTCCATGGCCGTATTTCTCTTCGCCTTGCAGCGGCTCTCCTGAGAGCAGGACGCATGCGTATTTCATTTTTCTAGCTGTTCGGGTAAGTGTGTGGATGCGTCTTGCCGCTTCCGGACTGCTTCTGCCTCTCCCAGCAGAGCCAAGAAGTATGCACTTCGCCTGTATGTATTCTATAGGCTACAGTCGACTGGCCTAGAACCACTGACAAGTCCCCTAGCCAGCAAGGGGAGAGGAGGAAGGAGCAGGCTAGGGAGGAAGGGCAACTACCCCTTCGTGTGGGGTGTAGCAGTAACTTGATATGATCGAATACTAGTGGCCTCATAACCTAAGTGAGAACAACACAGACAACAAACCCCCATCCCATCTGTGAAAAGCCTTGGGACTACTACAGACATGCATAGATGCGGGTGTCTGTCGATGTTCCCAGTGGTTGCCAGGCCGCCTACGATTATTATCCTTGTGATCATTGGCCTATGCCGCCCATGCTGAACCCTCCCCCCAGGCGTCCATTTTTAGGAAAACTTTCTTCTATATATATTATGCCGAAATCAATTCTGGATACCATGACTGACTTGGGCCAATATTTTAGCCTGCAGAGCATAGTACCAAGACTAGTTTTTTGTCTAAGCCTATGCTAGTTTCACCTCTCCCTTCCTCTTCATAGCAATCATCAATAATAAAGCTTTCATTCCTCCTTTTTGCTTCAGGTTGTAAAAAGTTAATAGAAAGTTAATAGCAAATCAAAGTGTTGATAGAAAAGGGCTCATTACAAGGATCAATTTTGGGATTCCTAAATCCCAGGTGAAGTGTTGTGGTATCGCTGGAACTTTGAACTTTCTCTCATGCCATCAGAAGAAATTGGGATTCATCCCTGCTTCATGTTTGTATTATCATCCTCTCACCATTCACAGAATGGCATTGTTATTGGAAGTCACATCCAGGAAGACTTGCCAGAATTCCCATCCACTCAGCCATTGGAATTAAAGCTTGTGCATAATATGACATCTTGAAAACATGGGATTGTACTTGGTAAACCATCACAGTTGCTTCTGAGAAAAGGAAAAGGGACAAGATACCATCAAGCCTCCATTTGAAATTTAAGTAGTTGGCAACCAGAGCCTCATTTTAGAATATCTGACCTGATATACATCAAGAGAGTTTGAAAAGGTAGACTTGCTTGCTACCAAGATGAAATTAGACATGGGGTCAATCAAGACAGAATTGCCACATGATGATATTGAAGATATGATCATGGATCCTCTGTCGCTTGCAGACCTGCGCAGGGTTGATGGATCTGGGTTTGTCCTCATTGTGTCATTCTTTGCTTTGTTTTAATGTCATACTGCATGGCTTTATTTATTCATATTTCTTGGACCGCTTCCATGTACAGGAGCGAAGAAAGCGATCATGATGGATCCATTCACTGTAAATCAGATTCCAAAGTCTTCTCCAAAGCCATGGGCTTACCTCCTGGCTGTCCACAAGATCGGAAGAGGAAGAAATTAACCCGCATTTCTCCTCGAATGCAGTGGTTTCAAGCTGCTGCAAAGGTAGTTCTTCTCACAAGTTTTCGTTTGCAAATAAATTCTCCTAAGAATGTCATAAGCTTGACAGGAGTAACAAATGGTTACAATCTATATCTCAGGCAAGAGCTTTGGGAGATCCATGGGAGAAGTTTCAGTGGAAGGACTATCCAACAGAGAATGCCAAGCGTTATCGTTACAATGCTCTGAAAAAAGAATGGATTGAGGACATGTGTGTTGTGAAGATGGAGCCTGAACCATTCAATCATGGAGCCATGAGAGAATGTTTTCGCATGTATGTGTTGTAAACAATGTCTTTCTTCTCATCTTAACTAATTAACCTGATGACTATTGCTTGTGCCATATTAAAGTACTATTAGCTCAAGAATGAATATTTTGTGTTTATGGAGTACCTCTACCAGTGCTGGTAGGCTGAGACCTACTTGGTAGTATGTAATTTCATGCTTGTACATTGATGGCATGATGGAAATTGCTAATTGTTTCATAAAAATGTACCTTTTCAGGAAGAAGTTGAGCAATTTTTTGCATTCAGATGACTGGCACAAAGATTCCAACAACTATGTGGCCAAACGTTACATGGAAGAAATGGAAAGATCAGTGTACTTTGAAGATGTCCACCTTCAGATGGATGCAAAGCTCTGGGGAGAAGAATTCAATAGGCACAATCCTCCAAAGAAGGTAAAAAGACAGTTTCTTTTGAAGACTCTGAGGGGGGGGAATAGTGAGATTGAGGAGACGTGACTGGAGGTGTGTTTGCATCTGAGGTTAGGGCATTCTTCTCTCAGGCATTTTGCCAATCTGCTGTTTATGCCAATATTCTTTTTTCCCTATAGTCTTTTTTCTCTTTCCCTCTCTCAAGAGCTGGGTGTATTCCTGGCCTAGTTCCATGATGGCTCTTTTTACTTTCAAAATTTTCTGAAAATTTTTTCACAGGTTGACATCATTCAGATGTGCATCATTGAGTTTGTTGAACGTCCGGGGAAGCCTGTCTACCACATTGAACATTTTATTCAAGGCAGATACATTAAGTACAATTCTAACTCGGGTTTTGTAGATGATGCCAAAAGGAAGACCCCTCAGGCTTTCACACACTTCACATTTGAAAGGTTATTCATTCATTATTGGAAAGGTTTTCTTCACACTTAAGTCATGCATGAAGTTTAATTTCAGCTTTGGTACTTCTCCACACAGGTCTGGGCATGAGTTGATTGTGGTGGATATTCAAGGTGTTGGAGATCTCTACACCGATCCTCAGATACATACAGCTGATGGTCAGTTCCACAGAAATTCCTCTGTGTTTCAATGCTCATTAGAAATCTCAAAACAGGAGTTTTAGAGCCTCCCCTTCTGAATTGCACAGGGAAGGGATATGGTGATGGAAACCTTGGAACTCGGGGCATGGCTCTATTCTTTCATTCTCACGTCTGCAACAGTATCTGTGAGAGCTTGGGCCTTTCACTCTTTGACCTTGCTTCCCAAGAGCTGAATGGTTTGTCCAATCAAGTCAATGCTCTGGTGAGTAAAGACAAGTACTCTTCTATTGACTCTTAATGCTTTGACAACGAGCTTGTGTATCTGAATGGGAAATCCTTTTGGATGTCTTGCTGCAGAAGGACAGTATGACCCGAGTTCGAGGTTCAGAAGAGCTCTGTTTGAGCCCCAGTGACTATGACCGCCAGCACCTCTTGGACTTCTTGCAGCAACGCTCCAACTCATTCTCCCATTCTCAACATGCCAAGATGAGGCGAGAATCAGGAGGTTCCATTCGTGTTCGCTATGAGTCTGGTGGTTCTGCTCGGGTTCGCTGTGAGTCGGGTGGGAGTTCTCATCATCGCCTCAGGTCAGACTCATATGGAAGTGGTGAATTCAGTCTGTCTCCACCAGAATCCCCAACTCGACACAATTCTGAGGTGATTCAGGAGTCTAGCTATTATACAAAACTGACCTAGAAAGACCTGAATGACCTACTAATAGAAAATATAGAGGTTTAGTGTCTTCACAGTACTTTGTCAGCACTCAAGGTTTTCTCCTTCCTTAGTTCTTCTCTTTGCTAGTATTTTTTACTATTATGAACTGTATTGAAATTTCTTCTGAGTCTGTATCCCAGGTTTGAAGTTACATGTACATCTTCATTATAAAGGAGGGTGTTGTGCAACATAATTACTATAATTCTTCAAAAACACATTATTGGAAACTGGGAAATGTCAGAAAATTGGGGAGGAAACATTTCTTGCTGTAGTTTAAATGCTATGTAACTAAACTTTATTCTGTGTCCTCCAATGCAATCTACATGTAAGGATGCTGTAGCAAAAGCTTAATAATATTGATGTTGGTTTTCTGTCTTCTTTGAAGGGTTCATGCGAGGATGACCACGTGCTCTTGGATCGGCAAGATTCAGGATTCTCGGGAACATATGGTCCTCGTCCAGTTGTAACACGTCGCCCACGTTATGAGTCAGAGAATAGTCTCAATTTGAACTGTGAGGAGGAGAAATATCTCTTCTCAGAATTAGCTGCAAAGAAATCTCGAAAGTCAAATGTAGCAGCAGAGAAGCAGCTGAGACAGGAGATCCGGGACTCTGAAGAGGATGGGTGGCTAGGGGAGAAAGACTCTATTCTTGGACAGGTTAGTTACTGGAGTGGTATGATAATCATGTATGTTGCATCATAAAATGCTGCTGTTGCAAGTGAATTGAAAATGGATATTTTCAGATTCACCTGGACTTGGCCAAGTATCATGAACTGGGCCGATTCTCTGAATCCAATGGTGACGATTATGACAGAGAAGCTGCAATGTTTCATCTGCGTCATGCTGCAGACCTTGGTGTCATGGAGGCCCTCATCACCATTGCTCATATTCACTTCCAGCTTCCTCATGATATTCTTACTGATATTGAGGTATTCTTGTATAAGATAGACTATAGCTTCATCGTATAAGCTAGACACCCTGTTTTATTACTTGTTATCAGCTTTTGTGGCCTTGTGTGATAAAATTTATGTCTGCATTTATTTTTGGGTACATCATGGCCTAGTTTCAAATCTCTAAATATGACCTAGCCTTGTATTGTAAACAAGATAAGCAACGAAAAATAACATCCTTGCATCACATGAACAAGTGATAACAGTGGCAGAGACCAAGTTTTTGACTTGGCATGTCTGGCAAGTATTGTATGAACTGTAGTTAGTAAGGAAATATTTTACTTTGTAAGACACAATTCAACATGTAGCCCAGCTGATGGGGTGAATATGTATGTTGCCTAGTAACAAAAAGAAAGCAGTGCTTTTCTGGATGTTGATATTCCCATTTGTGCTATAGGTCTGAATCTGGAAAGCTGGGATAACTGTATTGATTGACCTTTACACCAGGTGGCATACCATAATGTTTTAATTTAAATTGGTGGGAAAGAGTGGAGGTAGCCTCATCAGGTTTTTCCACTTAATTAATGAAATACAGAAGAGGAACATATAATGGTATGCTAGAAAAAATATATTTATTATAGGGGTCATATGAGGAGACATTGCAAAGAAAACTTGACAACCACTCTAGGAATGGAGAAGGAGTCCTCATTGATATGCCAATTCTATTTTTTTTCACTCAAGCCACCTTATGATTAACCCCATTCCAGCAGCATTAAGGTTTGGGTCAGTCATGTTGAGCCAGTATCTATAGTGGCAATATTGCCAACTTTGACTTTTATTTCATTGATAGCACCTTTTGCACTAATTGATGATGCAACATTGAGTTGAAACTTTCTTGGATTTTCCTACACCATTAGAAGTTCTTGTTTTGCATTTTATTAACAGACTCCTTCTAGGTGCTTGTTTATTGCAGTTAGTGGGACCCCTACCCTCCTTTATTTGCCAGTTTTCTCTGCAAAAAACTTGTGCACTTGAAACTACAATTGATATGACACACAGCTATGAGGTCTTCTACCAATATTTCATTAAGATGTCTTGACTCCATGGTGTTGCAATTTCAATGACAGCTAGTGTATTTCATTAAAACCACCTCATTCTATGTATAAACTTCCAAACTTTCTGAGGCTAACTTAGTTTTCTGACTGTGAAATGGTGATGGCAATTGATAGGTGCCTGAGTCAGAGGAGAACTGGAGCAAAGGATTCCATGCAATGATGTCTGCTGCACATCTTGGCAGTCGAGAAGCAATGGTCTTCATTGCAGAAGCCTTTAAGCTTGGAAGTAATCTGCCTCAAGATTGGTGCATCAACTGGGAAGAGGCCATGAAATGGTACGAGAAAGCTGTGGACATTGATCCAGAAGAAGACGAGGGATTCGGGAATGGAACAGTGGATCATCCACCTTACGTACTCCTTGCAGCTCAAGCAGAAATGCTCAAGGAAGGTGGACATGGCCTTTCAAAAGATCCTCAGAAAGCTAGTAAGTGAACAATGGAAGATGGAGCTTACTGATATTTCAGATCCATACCTTAACCTTAAAATGGGTGTCCTAGTCCCTTTAAACCTGTATGGGATTTAGGATGATATGAAGCATCTCATCATTGGCCCATCTCTCACACACAGATGAGCTTTACACTGCTGCAGCAGAGTCAGCTATGGAGCTTATGAAAGGGAGACTGGCAAACAAGTACTACATGTTGGCTGAAGAGGCTTTGGCTGAGGTTCCAGATGATTCATAAAACCTTTGTCATATGTTGGGAGTTTTTTCTTTTCTCATCCTCTTTATTTTCCTATCCTTGTGTTTTCATGTTTTTTGCTTTCCTCTAATGGCTGATGTCATCATGGATTTGCTTATGTAGGGTGTCTAAAGCTTTGTAATTTCTGTTGCTGTGGAATTCCTGTGAAACCAATTAGTACTAATCAATAGAGCACCAGTGGGTGATTGTTAAACATTCATGTTTATAGTGACATACTATTATCACAGCAATCTTGATCCTTTTTTTTTTTTTAGGATCCAATTTTCAAAATTGCAGTGTACAGGTAGAGGCTCAAATCCTGCTTCAAATCAATTGATTGTTGAGAGTTAATCTTTTCTCTCAGCAAAAAGAAATCTTTAATTTCCAGGTTATTATAGTGGCTACTAGTTATCCTTATCTCAAGGAATAGGTAAGGTTAGAATCATTTTGATTGCCTTGCTCCCATCCTCAAATTGGAACAATTGGGACTCCTCCCTCTCTCTCTCCCCCCCCCCCCCCCCCCCTCCCCTCCCTCTCTCTCTCCCTCCTGGTAGTGCTTGAAGCAGAATTTTGCAGCAGTATACAAAAGGTTTTTTTTTCATTGGATGCCTTTTTACATCCCTGTGTTTTTAATCCCCTCCTACACAGAATACTGCCATGGCTCCTGAAAGTAGGACCTTCAATCAGGGATAGATCAGAGTGAAGCACATCCTTAGCCATGGTGGTTATCCTTATAACTGATTAGGGTGTATCTCCTTAATTGGCATCATGATCTGTGTGTCAATTGAATGCGTGAATATATTATGTAACGAATTCCCCATTCCTGCTCTGTTGGTAGCTATCAGTTTATGGAAGTTTTCACAGGACAACAGAGATTGCATTGTGGGAGGGTATACTTTTTTAGACACCCTAACTAACCATGCTTTCCCCAAGAAGGCCTCCAGGCCTATAGATATTGTGTATATATGTTGTGATCTCATTCAACATCTTCCTCTTTTCATTGTAATAACTTGTTGGATGAGGTTGACTGTGCATTTTGCACATTGTAGTCCTCTTTCTTTCTCATCTAATCATAATCAGATCATCATCTTTTGTCCTCTTGAGACTAGCCAAATTTGGGATCTTTACTGTGGATTGTTAAGTGCCCAGGAACTCCTCATTTTGTATCTACTGTAGTCCTTGTTGTACAAAACCAGTTTTTCTGTAATTGTGCCATGAAGGTTGCTATGGAGGCAAGAATTGCTTTCCCTATCACTTTCACCATGGGTATGCAGATAATGTACAAATTATTTTGTGTGCAATTAGTCTATGTTTCAGGTGGAATGTCCTTTTCTTTTTAAGTTTTGTTTACTTTTGAATTTGTTACTGAGCTCTGTAGGCTATTGCCCCATGCAATATGTAAATGTGTGATCCATGGCTTCTGTAGTCATAAGGTGCTAGTTTCCTTGTTCTAACCTCACATTACAAGTACTGCTTCCACTTCGGTTATATTTTCACCTGGCTTTGGTGTGGTGTGATTCACATTGATCAGGTTTGTGGACTGAATCCCCTTGGAACGCCAAGGTTCTACGTATGCCACAATACATTATTAGCACAAAAATCAGTGCATACCCATGTATTGATTCACTGTGGAAGAGTGATAAGACTTGAGTGACTTCATCCAGGACATTCTCTGTGTGATATTTTTGCCTGTGTTAATAAGAATGATGTCTTCTTGCAGATCTATTGAAAAATCTCAAAAAAAAAGCATACCAATATTGCTTCCCTTGTTTTGCCTCCTTGTGCATGTCTTTGCCTTTAGTTCTTATTTCAGGATGTGGGATTCATTGAGCTAGAGAAGGATTTTGTGTTCTTGTAATTTTGGGATGTGGGATTCATTGATCTAGAGGAGGATTCTGTGTTCTGCTTCACTGTTTCATTTTTCATATAAAGAGTCCTGTACATGTATAAACAAAGCTCCTGCAATTGTATAGCCATTTGATTTCATATGGACAGCAGGATTTCGAAATGTGCTTCATCCTTCTTTGTGATAATACATTTGACAGTTTTGCTTAGGATACAGCTGTCTGGGAAGTGAACTGAAGTTTGCTTGTATTTTTCTATGCATTTTCCCATGTGATGTTGGTTGAAGATTGTCTGCTTTGGAAATAAAGGCTGGACATTTTAAATACGAAATATTGTTAGCTTTATTCCGCAACATTCAGCTATTCGTATGCCTCTGCCCTTCGATATGTGATATCGGAGGATTTCACAGGACAGAATTGCATGATATGCATCAACCCCGCATCGGACGGTCTCCATCATAAAGCTTCCTTTGGCAACGAGGTGCACATTCTACAATGTGCGTAATATTTTTTATGACCCACATATCAAGTTATGACTCCTGGATTATCTCGAGTCAGATCCTGTCATCCGGATGATGGCTGCGTCAGTGATATTCCGGGGTATGGACAGGTCCAAGGATAACACACACCTTGTGGTCTATGAGATCCCGGGGAACACAGAAGTTGACCGGTAACGGAGAAAGGGGCTCTGGAGGCGGCAGAGTTGAGGTCACAGTCTGACCTTGCCTCGAAGGAGTGGAAGGGTCTTCAGAGGAGAGCCCTGGAGGCAGCAGAGATGAGGTCACAGTCCGACCTGGCCTTGAGAGCGTGCCACTGGGTCACGGCCGTTCGAGGGCTTCGGGTCATCTCCTGCCACTGCGAAAGCTCCGACTCCCCTAGTACACCATGAGAACTGTACAGTACAGGACTTGAATCTCACGTAAAAGCCTCAAAGGATTAAAAGAAGGGGGGAGAATGGAATTGTCCATGTTAAAAAACCCAGCTCAAAGCCGAAGAACTTACAAAAGTATGCCTCTTTTAATTCATACATCCCTGAGGAACGTAAGTCACGGTGACGAGCCAGATCCTAGAAGGGCGCTTTGAATATGCTTATTGAGAATGGAACGCGGCTCGCAGAGACTTCGCTCGAAAGTCATCTGCCCTTTTTCACCTCTGACGACTGCAGATCGAGAAGAGTGACTCCGCTAGAACACGTTCCATCCGGTTGTAAATCGCCTAGCTTCCCCGAACTCGTGGGCTTGTCCCACGACCATACAAGAAATGAAATAATTCGGGGACCGTTATGATACGATCTCATGAAGCAGAATCATCGAGAAGGACCCAGGAAAACCTTCCAACACGATCGAATTGCAACTAAGCGCAAGCGCGAAGCAATTGCCCTCCACGAGAGGAAATGGAATCGACCGCCACTTCGATCGACGCGATGGGTGCCGCTAATTCGCGCCTAATCGAGCCCGAACAAGTCATTCTATTACGCTTCTGTGCCGACCTGCCGAGAGAAAATTAAGCAAGCCGATTCGAAAGAATGGGAATCGCGACCGTGTAAACAACCTGAAGCCGATTCTCGATCGAAAAAAAAAAAACCATTTCGGTATCCCATTCGATCGAGCCGAGACACCACCTCTTACGGAGGAGAGTTTCTATGTTTACCCAAGGGCCCAACTCACTGGCTCGCAGAAAGAAAACTTCCTCGGGGCTCGAGTACCGTCGTTCGTAAACATCGGCGAGATGCGATCGGGAAAACGTCGTGAGAATCCTCGAGCAATCATCCATCGCTTACTCGACCTTGACAGTGACGTTATGAAGATTAGAAATACCTCCTCGCCAAACCATGGACCTTGAGACGTTACGATGCAACCTCGCGTCTTTGAGGATGACCTCGAGACGATCCCGGGGGGGGGGGGGGGGGGGGGGGG